CGGCCGCGCTAGCCCGCGCGTGCTCGCGCGCACAGCGGCCAGCTAGTTCGGAGCGACCGACGCGGCCGCGGTGGCGCTGACCGCTGGGAACTTCCCAGCGCGTCTCGCAGGCCGCGCTGGCGCGCGGGCACTTCAGTGTGAGTCGCTGTCTTGGGCGAGCGCGGTATCATGGCGACGTCGACGACTGTAGATACGATGGTGACTGTAGCGATGATAGTGACGACGAAGACCATGACGATGGCAAGGCCCATGACGGCGCCGATGCTGATCAGGCCGATGGCGATGATGGCGTCCTTGCATCGGCGAAGGAGGTTTCGGAACGATTTCGGCATGCGCGCCCGGCCGACGCGCGCGAGTGGCCCGCTTGGCGTTAATGGTAGTATTTGACACGGATCGTGCCCCCCCCCCAGCACGCGCGCAAAGGCGTTCGAATGATTTCGACATGGTCGCAAGCGAGGCGGCTCGTTTGGCCATATTCCATGAAAAAGAGTGAACGCATGGTTTTGTTAAGAATTCGCAAGAACTCGCGCGCAGACCTGATTTCTAAAACGGATATTGCAACACCATCTTTTAATACGTGTTGGAGACACTCGGTTTTGAAATCCGTACGGAAACACTTGTTTTGTATGTGTCCATGCGCGCGCGATGACGCGCGCGCGCACTTCGTTTCAGTTTTGTTGTGTGCAGCATTTTCGAAAACGAACGTGGTTTGATAAACGAATGTGCGCGCGGACGAGTTGTTGCCGACGATGGTGGGGGGGGTCAATGGCAGTTTGGCTGGGATGATACGGTTCGATCGCAGACTCATAGTTGAATTCCAATGCAAAAAGGCGGGCGGATATTCGCGGGGGGAGATCATAACTTACTGTTGGTTGTTTTGAACAGGGAACCTTTGTGGTACGTTTCATGTGTTGTAAAATTTGTGGTGCATATTACGTGTTGCAGGCTACGTGGTGCAACTTATGTCGTGCAATGATGCAAATTATGTTGTGAAGCCTACGTGGTGCAGGCTATATGGAGCAGCGTGTGATGTGCAATAAATGCGGTATTAGCTACGTGGTGCGTTATATGTAGCGCAGCCCATGTGGAACAACACGCGTGGTGCAAACTATGTGGCCAATTTTTATGTTGTGCGGACTGCTCAGCAGTGCGCGCTACACGGTGCCATACACCGTTCATGAATGTGGCACAAATTATGTGGCACAACGTAAGTGCTGCACTGTGTGTGGTATAGACAATGTGGTACAATTTATGTGGGGCAAGCTAGGTTGAACCGTTGTGGCCTGAACGATGATGTGGGCCAATGTGGCGCAGGCTGCGCGGTGCAACGTGTGACGGACGAATTACGAATGGCAGGCTAATGTATGTGGTGCAAAAGTGTGGTGCCATCTACGTGGTGTCATGTATGTTGTGCAATATGTGTGGCGCAATCCACAATCAACGTGGTGATGTGGTGGTAGCTATGTGGTGAAGGACGCGTGGTGCAGTAAATGTGGTGCAGTAAATGTGGTGTAGACTACGTGGTGTTACCCATGTGTTGCAATCCACGTCTTGGACTCTAATGGGTGCATTCGATGTTTTACATGACTTGGCAAATCCCACGCCCATGCAAACATCCAACCCACCCACCCGCAATTTGGTTTACAAAACCCATGCGGCGGCGATTGTGATGAGTGGTTGGCGCCTCTCTGCGGCCGCGCTAACCCGCGCACGCTCGCGCGCACAGCGGCCAGCTAGTTTAGCGCCACCGACGCGGACGCGGTGGCGTCGACCGTTGGGCAATTCCCAGCGGGCACTTTAGTGCGAGTATGTGACTTTGGCGGGCACGGTATCATGGCGACGCCGACAACGGTAGACACGATTATGAGTGTAACGATGGTGGTGGCGATAGTGGCGATGTCGACGGCAAAGCCAATAACGGCGCCGATGCTGATCGCGCCTGCCGATACCGATGACGATGCCCCTGCGTCGGCGATGAAGGTTTTTGAGGAAGTTCAACATGCGCGCGCGGCCGACGCGCGCGAATGACCCGCGCGGTTTTATGTGACACGGATCGCGCCTCCACCCCCAGCACGCGCGCAAGCGTCCGAATGATTTCGAAAGTAGGCGCGAGAGGCCCGTTTGGCAGAATTTGTTGGGATTGTGGGGAGACCCATTGTTTGTTTTTTTGAATCCGCAAAACCGCGAGCGCATGATGATTTTGAAAACTGATGTTGCGAAACCATGTACTTTGGTATGTTCTCGGGACGCTCGTGTTTTAAATCTTTTTTTCGAACCTGCGGATTTTGAAGATCCGGGAATGCGCGCGCGAGGATGCGCGCGCGCGTGTCCTTCGTTTCTCTTTTTTGTTGCAATGGACTCTAGCGACAGCACGCGCGCAACTGGCGTTCGAACGATTTCGACATGCGCGCGAGAGGCCCGCTTGGTCGCATGTTTTGAACATGTTGAAAACCCGGAGGCCATCTGAAGAATTCGCATATCCGCTGGCGCAGGTCTTTTTTTGTTTAAAAATCCACGTTGCGAAACCATGTGTTGTAGTGGTCTCCGGCCAGTGCCGCCGATCCGGGACGCTTCCGTTGTTGCCGGAAGTTCACGATGGCGGCGAGCGGTGAGGATGATGATGAGGATTGGGAATGGAGGCAACGGAGTAGGATGAGGAGGAGGAGGAGGAGGAGGAGGTGGAGGGTGGTGATGGGGGGGGGGTAGCAGGATGCTGAGGATGAGGAGGAGCAGGAGGAAACAGGAAATGGAAGAGGGGGAGGGGGAGAAGGAGGAGCTTGACGAGGATGACGAGATTTTCAGCGGTTGTTGGAGATGTCCGGCGGTTGTTGGAAAGCCTCTTTGGGGCCAGGTGTTGGCCTTCTCTGGGTTGACACCTCGCCGATTTGGCGAACTCTCTGAAAAACTTTGTGCTGGAGATGTCTACATCGCAGTTCTTTGTGGAGCCTTTTTGCATCGCCGGTCTCTGCTGGGAACCATCGCGTTTTTGGGGTGTCTCTATGGCCTGCGCGCGGTCGTCTGCGGGCCCTCGTGAGATCGTGGATGTGAGGGACGCCGAAGACGGGAGAATATGTGAAAACGTGGAAGAACTTTTTGTGCTGCAGCGCTCGTGTTCAGACGTAAGCGCTGTGGAAGCATTGGGACCGGTTTTGGGTTTCTCGGGGGGAGTCTTGCAGGTAGCTTGGAGGCCTCTAGATGGCGTCATGGATGCATTTATTGAATTTTTCTGGGGCCTCCTCAGGGGGCTTCAGGGGGGCTCTTCGGGGCCAGTTGGAAGCGTCTTGGGGCCTCCTCAAGCCTCTTGGGGGCCTCTTGGGGGCCCGCTGGGGGTTTCTGGGGCCGTGATCGGCACTTTTTCCGCCGTCCTGGCGCCCTCTCAGGCGCCTTTTGGGCCCGTCTTGGGGCCCTCTTGGCGCTTTCCGGGGGCCTCCTGGGCCATCTTGGGCCTTTCTTGGGCCGTCTTGGAGCCCTCTTGGCGGCTTCTTGGGCCGTTTGGGGGCTCTCTTGGGGCGCTTGCGACGCGCTGAAGGCCCAAGAGGCGAACGTGTTAGAATTGTACATTTATCTTCGGGACTGGGACATATGTTGTTTTTTGGGGCCTTCTTTGGGAGGCTTGTTTCAGGCTTCTGAGGGCGTCTTGGAGGCTTCTGGAGCCGTTTTGGGAACATCTTGGGCGTCTTGTAGCGATCGTTCGGCGACCCTGGACCCTCTTGGCCCATGCTGGGGCCCTCTTGGGCGAGGGGGCCGTCCCAGAGTGAGCTGGAACTCAGATTCCGCCCCGGGAATTAAATCGAACCATCCCCCCCCCCCCTCCCCCTACCCCGGCAGAGCCACCCCGGCACCCACCCCCCAGTAGAGCTGAAAATCAGGAATTGAGGCTCAGGCTGTTCTGAGGGCCCTTGAAACTCACACGCCAGATCGGCGGATTTTCATATGTGTTCTATTCTCGATGTCGCAATCCTTGCGAAACCTGGGATGTTTGAAGATGTTTGGCATGCGCGCGCGACGACACGCGTGTGAGAACTTTGTCCCCTTTGTTGTTCGGCATTTGTTTAAAACAAAAAAGTGTGCGCGCATAGCTGCGTTTGCTGAGGATGAAGGGGGGCCGAATTCCAGTTGGGCTGGCATGATATGAGTTCATATTGAGGATGGACGATGTGGCACAATCGTGTGTAAATTGCAATACGAAAAGGTGGCCCGTTCACCCGGGAGGGGTAGATCCGAATTTTTGTTAGAAAGGAGAATATAGGAAGCGCGAGTTATGTGTTGCAATCGACGCGGTGTGAGCTATGATTTGTGGGCTATGCGGTATACGCAGCGGCGACGGACGGTGGCGACGGGCGGCGACGGCGACAACAAGAGCGGCGACCGACAGCCAAGCGCAGAACAGCGGCGACGGACGGTGGCAACGGGCGGCGACGGCGACAAAAAGCGCGGCGACCGACAGCCAAGCGCAGAAGCAGCGACAACAAGCCGGCCACAAACAAGAACCCGTACTTGCAAGCAGTTGTCTGAGGAAAGAAAAACGCAGTGCTCGGGCCTCTGGGGGCCGATTTTGGAACTCCAGTACCGCCGGAAACACTACCTGACATGGAAGGCCAACCCTGGGAAAGAGGAGCCGGGACTTCAGGAAAACCCCGCACCGTAAAGCCTTGGGGGCCGATTTGGAACTCCAGCACCGCCGGCAAAACTACCTGGTGCGCCTCGTGCTCAGCGCCCAGGACGGCCCATCGGCCGCCCAGACCCCCGACGGCATGATTTTTTCGCAACGTCGACCCCCAGAGGTCTGGACCCCTTCCCCAAGATCGGACTTTCGTCCCGGGTCGTTTTTTGACGGTCCCGAGGCCCGGGGAGGGCCCCCGGAGGCCAAGAAGAGCGAAACCATTCCCGTCGCGATTTTTCCACGGCGCGAGGAGGTCTGGGCACGCAGGGCGGAGGTGTGCAGAGGCCCTCTGCGCACGGGAGGCGGCCAGGGCAGAGGCTCGGGCGCGCCGCCGAAGGGCAGGGGGGAGCAGCCGCGCGTGGGGAAGGCGGCTGGCGCGCGGCCCGGCGACGGGGGCCTCGCCGAGGGCGACGGCGCGCGGGACGCCGAGGCGGCCCCTGGGGTGCGGTGGTAGAGAACGGAAGGATGACATCCACACCCGGAGCCCCTCGCGTCGTGAAAAAGTCGTGGCGAGAGGTTTTTCGCTGCTTTCGGCCTCTAGGGGCCCTCACCGGCCCTCGGGACGGTCAAAAACTGACTGAGGACGAAAAAACGGTCCTTGGGAATGGGTCCAGACCGCTGGGGGTTCACGCCATGAAAAATTCATGACGTCTAGTGTCTAGTGTCTGGGCAGGTCAATTCTTCACAAATCGCGTATCCCCACCAGCCCACTGAGAAGCCCTGCCCATGAGAGCTGGCGGGAAAAGGGAGGAAGAGACACATAAGTCGTGAAGCGAAGCTGGCCTCAACAGCGCATCAGAAGCGAAAAGGCAATAAGGCAAACACCCTCGATGTTCCGTTCGCCCCCGAAGAGTTTGGGCCTCTTGAGGGGGTCCTCAGGGGGCTCTGGGAGAACTTGGAATCGTCTTGTGGCCCTCGTCGGGCCTCTTGGAGGTATGTCGGAAGCTATCCTGAACCATCGTCGGCTATTTTGAGCCATCTTGGAGGCCATCTTGGAGCATCGGACGCCCTCTTAGAGCCATCTTAGGCCATCCTGGGCGCTCTAAGCCTTCGGGCCGCCCAGGTCCAGGCCCAGGGAGGGAGGGGGGGAAGGTAAACCTCGCGGAAAGAATCCGTCAGACCGCCTCGGCCCGAAGGGCTGGTGGGACTTGGAGGTCCGCGCAGATGTCTTGGATCGGCGCTGGACCCCCCCCCCCCTCCATGGCGCGCGGAGCGTGCCAGGGGCGGCACCGAAGGCGCCACCAGGGCGCCCCAGCGCCGATCCGAGGAACCCGCGCGGACCTCATGACATCGTTTAGTTCCCGACCTCGGCCGCCGCCAAGCCAGGGCGTTCCAGAGAGGGCCCCGCGCCTCTGGCCCACCCTCGCCCTCGCCGGACATCGGCGGAGGGCCCGCGGGAGCGAAGGTGGCGGCTGACCGGGGGTGGGCGAAGGGGGGCAGAAGGCGGCGGGCGGAAAGATGAGGCGTCAAGATTTTGGGGCTCAGGAGGAGGAGGAGGAGGAGGCGGGAGGAGGAGGAGGCGGGAGGAGGAGGAGGAGGAGGAGGAGGAGGAGGAGGAGAAGGCGAGGGCCGCAGGCCCCCTCGCGTCGTGGGAGGCCCACGGCGGAAGGCTTCTGGGGATGTGGAGCCTCCGGGAGCCCCAGGGGGGGGGGGCCGTCGGGAAGTGGTGTGCTCGGGGTGTCGAGGAGCTGGCACAGTCCTTGACCCCCTCGCGTTGTGAAAAAACATGACGGAAGGTTTTTCGCTATTTTCGGCCTCGAGGGGCCCTCGCCGGGCCCCGGGACTGTCAAAGCAACCCAGGATGAAAAACCGGTCCCGGGGAAGGGGTCCAGACTTCTGGGGGTCGACGTTGTGCTCGGGGTGTTGAGGTGCTGGTACACACTGTTCATGTCTAATTCTTCGAGAGGTCTTTGACTTTTTGGGGGGCCAGGCTCCTTTCATTTCTAATTATTATGTCCTGGGCCTCTTCCTGGCCATTGGGGGGCCAGGAACAGTTAGAAACGAGCACAATTAGAAATAAGCGCGATTAGAAATTAACGACGTGTACAGTGGAGGCCAGTCCACAAGAAACCTTCCACAAGAAACCCAACCCCGAGACCCCAGGACGTCCACAGATTCTTGGTGTGGGAGCGTCACGCTTTCCATTCCCAAACCATCGAAGCCAAAGAAACACAGGGCACCCTGGAGGCAAGCAGGGTGTCTCTTGGCATGGTTCTCCACTGTATGATGGGCGCGGAAATCTGCAGTCTAACTCCGCTGCTCTGTCTGTGACCGCAGCTTGCCCGCCGAGATGGGGCCCATGACATGCATGGAGAGGCGAAATGAGGTGCAGCGTTCATCGTATGAAAACAAAGAAGGACATGGTGTGCTCGGGATGAAGAAGGCCCCCCAGAGACCTCCTGAGGCATCCAGGCAACCCCAGGAGCAGACCCAGGAGCAGACCGTGTCGGAAGAGGTGGGGCGCGGAGGGAGAAGCGAAAAAGGATGAGAGGAGGACGACGTGCGAGGAGGGAGGAGGGAAGGGGAGGAAAAGGTGGAGGGAAAAGCGCGACACTGCACACACACACAGATTCCAGTCGGGGTCATATCCTTGTCTCAATGGCTTCGCAACGGTTTGCTCCCCCCATCCCTGCGCACTCATCTCCACACCTCTTCACTCCTCCCTCCGCTCTTCCAGCACTGTTTCAACTTGCCTGCGCTCCTCTCAATTCCGCCCAACTCGTGCCTTCTCATCCGCGCTCGTTCTAACTCCTCTCCGCTTCTCCGCGCATGTCCCAACTCCGTTCCACTGGACTCCGAATGTTGTTTACATTCCCATGCAGTCCAATGGGGCAGAAAGTGATTCCCATCGGTGTCGCATGGGTACCCCCAAGGATCCCACTGGAAAGTTTCGGGCGTGTCATGTCGTGTCGTGTCTATGGCAGACCGTCTTTACCTTCGATCTCACTTACTTTGCGTGTCTGTTCGTCGCGTGTCTAGCCGTTCATGATCGTGCATCTCCGTGTCCATGCCAGAGCCGTGCCTATGATCGTGTATAGGTCAAATGTTCTGAAGGTGTGTGCGTTCACATCGTTCCGCGGCTACCTTCTATGGTTACCTGCTTGTGCCAAGGAAATGCGTGCTCGTGTTCTTTTCTCTGCCACGGAAAGCTATGTTCGTCACCACGCGCGTGGCAGGAAAGTCTTGACTCCTCTCGGATCCCCATCAGCCCATCCAGGCACGATCGGAGGCTTTCCTGAGGCCTCTTGGACGTTGTCTTGGGCCACGCTCGGCTAGAGGCTGTCGGAGGCTATCTTGAGCCATGCTCGGCTATCGTGGGCCATCTTGAGGTTGCCTTGAGGCCTCTTGGAGGTCTGTCGGATGCTACGTTGAGCCATGCTCGACCTCCTGGGACCACCTTGGGGGTAGGAGGAAGAGGAGCAGGAGGAGGGACAACAGAGAAGGAGCAGAAGGGAGAAGAGGAGGGGGAATAGGAGGAAGTTGAGGAGGAGGAGGAACGCGGCACGAGGAAGAAGAGGAGGATGAGGAGGGGGAGGAGGGAGGAGGAGGCAGGAAAGGAGGATGGAAGGAACGGACGATGACAAGGAGGAGATAAGTCGGGCTTTGGAGATATGTTCTTGTGAGAGGTTCTTGAAGGACGACTAAGGCAATCTTAGGGGCTGTCTTTGAGCACCTCTTGGGGGTCTCTTGGGCCATCTCGGGGCCATCTTGAGGCCTCAAAAGCCTATCGGAAGCGAAATGGCGAGAAGGAAAAACGGGTGCCCAGGAAGGCTCGATGGGCACTTGGAGCCGTCTTGGGGCTCTCTTGGGGCCTCTTGAAGGTATGTAGGAGGCTACGTTGAACCATCCCCAGCTCTCTTGAGCCACCTTGGAGGCCGCCTTGGGCTGCCGAGGGCCCTCTTAGAGCCATCTTGGGACCATCTTCAAATTCTAACTGCCCAGCCTCCCCGCCCCCCCCCCCCCTCCCAGGCCCAGGGGGGAGTAGGGGGAGGGGTCAAGACACCCTCCCCGCCCGCAAGCTGTGTCGCTCACTCTTTACCCGCCCTTCCAGCACATAAGGAGCGCCCGAGCCGCAGCGTGTTCAGCGGTAGCATTAGCCTTTCGGTTGCCCCGAATAGCCACACGCTGGGGCAGATTGCCTCTGCCTCGCCGCCGACGAAAAAGTCAGCGGTAGTCTTTGGATGAACAGCTAATGGGAAGCAAAACAGACCCCATGTGCGCAACGCTGGGGCGAGGTACGCCAGGCCTGCCAGGCGCGCCACGCGCGCCAGGTGTGCCAGGCACCCCATGTGGCCCAAGCGTGCTGGGCACGCCTGGTGCGCCAGATGCGCCACGTGATCCACGTGCGCCATGTGTGCAGCATGCGCGCTTCCCCCTCTTCCTCCCCCCGCGCGGCCGCCTTCGTCTTGTTTCCTTCCCCTTGCACGCCGGACAATTCGCTTTCCTGCTTCCCCGAATAACCACACGCTGGAGCGGACTGCCGCTGCCTCGCCGCCAACGAAAAAATGCCGCATGCTCCAGCCGCGCCAGTGCGCCACGTTCGGGGCACGCGCAGAGTGTGCCAGGTGAGCCTGCGCACGTGGCAGTCCACAGCGGCAAACGTGTCGAAAACCAGTACGGAATTGCGACGGGGTGGCCATCACAGCGTCTGGCGGGCCTGCACATAGCAGGCAGTATGCCAGCACCCCCGCCGCCCCAGTCAAAAGCTAATGCACAGTGATCTCGGGGTGTCCGCGCGTGAAACAGATTTCGTCTCGAACTGCACTTTGTAGTGGCTGTTGACAGGGATGCTGGCCCTGCGCGCAGCAGGCAATATGCGGGGACCCCCGCCGTCCTTGTCAACAAAAACAATACGAAGTACTCGCGGCCTCCCTGATCATGACCCAACGTTGATTTTACAGTTTTTTGTTATTGGGATGGTGGGGGGGCGGGGCCCTCATTGGTCCTGTTTGGCTGCCTACCGCCCGGGGGAGGAGGGGGGTTATTAATGGGGAGCAGTGATGAACACTTCTCTTGAGCAGCAGAGGGGGATAGATGACAAAACACGTCAAACCACCTGCGCCCAGAGGGCTGGTGGTATTCACCATCACGAAATTCAATAGAAATTGTGCGACAACTTCATGGACGACCACGAAAAATGGCACCCACTGTTGTGTGCCAGGGGGCCATGCATCGGCGATGCGGCACCATCTCCCGATTCGGCCTGCTCTGGCTCCATCTGAGCGACGCAGGAGAATTGGTTCGTCCGCACGGGCACTGGCGCGCAAGTTGCCCGCGCAATGTCGCGCAGTAGCGCATTCTCTGCCACGCACTAGGTCGAACTGGTGGCCTGCCCTCCAGCGGCTGCTGCCAGGCGCGACACTAGCCCAAGGCGGCCTTAGCTTTTCTTCCAGTGAGGCCAAGGTGGCCTCCAGAGCCCAGAGGGCCCCAGGGACCACAAGCTGACTCTAAAAGCAGAGGGGGCGCCTTGGGCCAGCATCACCCCCAGCAACCTCCCAGGCATCAGATGTTCCGACTTGTTCCATACAGGGCCCCCGGGAAGCTCGTTTTTTGACGGCCCCGGGGCCCAGCCAGGGCCCCGAGGGGCCGAGGACGACCAGAATCCTCCCGCCGCGACTCTTCTGTCACGACGCGAGCATGTGTCTGTCCTCCTCCTCCTCCTCCTCCTCCTCCTCCTCCTCCTCCTCCTCCTCCTCCTCCTCTCCTCCTCCTCCTCCTCCTCCTCCTCCTCCTCCTCCTCCTCCTCCTCCTCCTCCTCCTCCTCCTCCTCCTCCTCCTCCTCCTCCGACCCAGGCGCGCGGGAACCCCTCGGGGCAGCGCGCCGGGCCCGCCCATCCCTCGCAGAGCCGCGGCGCCGGCCCCGCGGGCAGCGGGCCGTCGGGCCCACGTGCGCGCGGCTGCGACACGTGCAAGGGCCGTTACGCCGAGGCCCTCGGGGCCAGGAAGCCCGCGCGCGCCGCCGGGCCCCCTCCCGCTCAGTGCTGTTGAGGAGCCTGTCCCCATGGTCTAGGCCTCCTAGATTGGGTCGGAGTAGATGGGGTCGGGGGATCGCGTCGCATCGGCGATGCATCGCCGATGCGGGTCGATGTAGAGCCCGATTTTCTCCACGATGACGTCGCCGATGCATCACCCACGTCGACGATGCATCGCCTGTGCATCGCCGATGTATCGCCGATGTATTAGCGATGCGGCACGGCGCGATCCCCCGACCCCATCTATTATGACCCCATCTAGGAGGCCTCTACACGGGCCATGGTATCTCACCCCACCATCCCACCACCCCCTCGAGACCCAAAGGGAACAGCCTATTCCCCAAACAGTGCTTGCACTGTTTGGGGTGCTCATGTCTTTTCTGAGGAACTGGGCCTGACGGCTGGTCTGGCGGCTATGTGGCCGCCGTCGCCGCCTCGTCGCCGCCCCGTCGCCGCCTCGCAGAATTGCACCGCATAAATTCTCTTTTCTAGAAAGAGAATAGACTCTACCCCCCCCCCCCCGGCGCGTTATCACTACCCCTTTCGGGTATGTAAGTCATACATGATTATGACCACATGTCCATCCTAAATATGAAATCACAATGTCCCAGGCCAGCCGGGTTACCCCCCCTGAGGTTCCCTGGCAAATTATCCTGGCGAAAGACCCAACCATGTGCAGTTGTGAATATCGCATTGCGGGTGCCGCTTTCGGTGGAGCTCCCTGTGGGGCCACGAAACGCTGTGCTGGGTGGGGGTGACGCATGCGGGCGGCACCACTGGGGCCTTCGGTGGAGGTCCCTGTGGGGCCACGAAACGCTGTACTGGGCGGGGGTGACGCATGCGGGCGGCACCACTGGGGCCGTCGGTGGAGCTCCCTGTGGGGCCACGAAACGCTGTGCTGGGTGGGGGTGGCGCATGCGGGCGGCACCACTGGGGCCTTCGGTGGAGCTCCCTGTGGGGCCACGAAATGCTGTGCTGGGGTGGGGGTGACGCATGCGGGCGGCACCACTGGGGCCTTCGGTGGAGGTCCCTGTGGGGCCACGAAACGCTGTGTTTGGTGGAGGTGCCGAAATGGGTGTGCGGGACGCATGCGAGCGGTGGCACTGGGGCCTTCGGTGGAGCTCCCTATGGGGCCACGAAACGTGTGAGGGGTGTGCCGAAATGGGTGTGGCTGACGCATGCGGGCTGGGGCCACGAAACGTGTGAGGGGTGTGCCGAATTGGATGTGGCTGACGCATGCGGGCGGCGGCACTGCGGCCTTCGGTGGAGCTCCCTATGGGGCCACGAAAGCGTGTGAGGGGTGTGCCGAATTGGGTGTGGCTGACGCATGCGGGCGGCAGCACTGGGGCCTTCGGTGGAGCTCCCTATGCCACGAAACGTGTGAGGGGTGTGCCGAATTGGGTGTGGCTGACGCATGCGGGCGGCAGCACTGGGGCCTTCGGTGGAGCTCCCTATGGGGCCACGAAACGTGTGAGGGGTGTGCCGAATGGGTGTGGCTGACGCATGCGGCGGCAGCACTGGGGCCTTCGGTGGAGCTCCCTATGGGGCCACGAAACGTGTGAGGGGTGTGCCGAAATGGTGCGGGACGCATGCGGGCGGCAGCACTGGGGCCTTCGGTGGAGCTCCCTATGGGGCCACGAAACGTGTGAGGGGTGTGCCGAATTGGGTGTGGCTGACGCATGCGGGCGGCGGCACTGGGGCCTTCGGTGGAGCTCCCTATGGGGCCACGAAACGTGTGAGGGGTGTGCCGAACTGTTTGGCTGACGCATGCGCGGCGCACTGGGGCCTTCGGTGGAGCTCCCTATGGGGCCACGAAACGTGTGAGGGGTGTGCCGAATTGGATGTGGCTGACGCATGCGGGCGGCGGCACTGGGCCTTCGGTGGAGCTCCCTATGGGGCCACGAAAGCGTGTGAGGGGTGTGCCGAACTTGGGTGTGGCTGACGCATGCGGGCGGCAGGCACTGGGGCCTTCGGTGGAGCTCCCTATGGGGCCACGAAACGTGTGAGGGGTGTGCCGAATTGGGTGTGGCTGACGCATGCGGGCGGCAGCACTGGGGCCTTCGGTGGAGCTCCCTATGGGGCCACGAAACGTGTGAGGGGTGTGCCGAATTGGGTGTGGCTGACGCATGCGGGCGGCGGCACTGGGGCCTTTGGTGGAGCTCCCTATGGGGCCACGAAACGTGTGAGGGGTGTGCCGAACTGGGTGTGGCTGGCGCATGCGGGCGGCAGCACTGGGGCCTTCGGTGGAGCTCCCTATGGGGCCACGAAACGTGTGAGGGGTGTGCCGAACTGGGTGTGGCTGACGCATGCGGGCGGCAGCACTGGGGCCTTCGGTGGAGCTCCCTATGGGGCCACGAAACGTGTGAGAGGTGTGACGATGATGGTGATGATGACGATGATGGTGGGTGATGACGATGATGATGATGATGACGATGATGATGATGACGATGATGATGATGATGCTGATGGGAGGAGGGAGGAGGGGGAAGAGGAGGAGAGGAGAGGAGAACGCGGGGACCGTTTCTTCAAAACGAGGACCCAACACCACAGGATGGTTGGGAAAAAACACTATGCGGTGACATTGTTTGTTCTAACATAACACTTGTTCACGAATCCCAGCAAAAAATGGGACGAAGTGCACACACGCGCGCGTCGTCGCGCGCGCATGCCGAAATCCTTCAAACACATCTGGTGCTGGAAGGATTTCGTAATCGAGTTTTCAACAAACATACAAAAACACAGGGTTTCGCAACACTGATTTGCTAAAAAAGCTTCCGCGCGAGCTCTTGCGAAATCCAAACAAAACCATAGGTTTTTCAAGATTTTCACAACATGCTACCAAACGGGCGTCGCGCGCGCATGTCGAAATCTGTCGAACGCCCTTGCGCGTGTGCCGTCGCGAGAATCCTCAGCAAAAAATGGGACGAAGTGCAGACGCGCGCGTCGTCGCGCGCGTACGCCGAAATCCTTCAAAACCCATCGGTTTCGGAAGGATTTCAAAATCGCGCGTCCAAAAAACCTACAAAAACACAAGGTTTCGCAATACGGATGTTCAACAAAAGCGTGCGCGCGCGCTCTTGCGGCGTCGTCGTCGTCGTCCCTCCCTCGTCGTTGTCGTCGTCGGCGTCGCCGTCCTTCCTCCTTCTTCGTCGTTCGCGTCGTCGCCGTCCTCCTTCCTCCGTCGTCGTTGTCGTCGTTGTCGTCGTTATCGTCGTTGTCGCCGTCGTCGTCCTCCCTCCTCCCTCGTCGTCGTCTTCGTTGGCGACGTCGTTGTCGTCGTCGTCGTCGTTGTCTTCGTCGTCGTCGTCGGCATCGTCGTCGTCGGCGCCGTCGTCGTCGTTGTCATCGTCGTCGTCTTCGGCGTCGTCGTCGTCGTCGGTGTCGTCGTCGTCGTGGTCGCTGTCGTCGTCGAAGTCGTTGGAGACGTCGTCGGTGTCGTCGTCGTCGTCGGTGTCGGCGGCGCCGTCGTCGTCGTTGTCGCTGTCGTCGTCGGCGTCGGTGTCGTGGCCAAGTGCCATCTGGTACCTACCGTCACGGTCTTGTCTTAAGAGATCTTGCGACCAAGTTGCGGGTGGGAGGGTGGGATGTTTGCACGAGCAGTGGAGAGGACAGCTTCAAGACGGTCAAAGTGAGTTTCACCACATAAGTTGCACCACGTAGATCGCAGATCGCACAACATAGATTGCAACACATCGATCGCACCGCATATATGGCACCACATAGATTGCATCACATAGGTTGCACAACATGCGTCGTACCTCATACACTGCACCACGTAGATTGCACAACATATATTACAACACATAGATCACACCGCATGTATGGCAAAACATAGATTGCACCACACCGATCGCACAACATAGCTCGTACTGGACATATATATATATATATATACATATACATATGTGTATATATGTATATATACATATATGAAAGAGTGCGTTCTGTGGTCACTTGGAGGGGGGGATTGGAACCGGACCCCCCCCTTCCTCCACTACTTTTAATCTCTCCTTATCCTCGGGCCAGCGCCTGCGTCGGCGGCGGCTGGCGGCGGCGACGGGGACGACGATTTCTTTTGTCTGGACCGGCGCTACGGCCTGCGGCGGCGGGCGCCGGCGGCAGGGAGCGTCGACGAGGACGACGGTGGTGGTGGTGGTGGTGGGTTGTGGTGGTGGTGGCGGTGGTGGTGGTTGTGGTGGTGGTGGTGTGGTGGTTTGTTGTGGTGGTTGTGGTGGTGGATGGTGGTTTTGGTGGTGGATGGTGGTGGTGGTGGTGATTTGGTGGTGGCGTGGTGGTGGTGGTTGTGGTTGTGGTGGTGGTGGTTTAATGGTGGTGTGGTGGTGGTTTGGTGGTGGTGGTGATTTTGTGGTGGTGTGGCGGTGGTTGTTTGTGGAGGTGGTGCTGGTGGTGGTGGTTGTGGTGGCGGTGGTGGTGGTGTGGTGGTTTGTGGTGGTGGTGGCGGGTTGTGCTGCTGGTAGTGGTGGTGGTGGTGGCGGTGTTGGTGGTGTGGTAGATTGGTGGTGGTGGTAGTGGTGGTGGGTTCTTGTGATGGTGGTGGTGGTGATGGTGAGTTGTGGTGGTGGTGCTGTGGTGGTGGTGGTGGTTGTGTGATGGGTTGGTGGTAGTGGTGGGTTGAGGCGGTGGTGGTGGTGGTAGTGGTGGTGGTGGTGGTAGTGGTGGTCATCGTCGCTGAGTCACCGCCGGCGCCTGCGCCGGCGCTGCTGGCCGCCGCCAGCGCCGGCGCTGGCACCGGCGCCGAGGGTGGGGGGGCGTTTTGAACTCCCCCGCCTTTGGGAGGGGGGGGTTTTGAACCCCCCCCCCTCCCTTAGGCTGCCTCTGGTCATCGTCGCTGCGTCCCCGCCGTTGGCGCTGCTGGCGGCCACCAGCGCCGGCGCCGAGGGGGGGGAGGTTTGAACCCGCCCCCATTGGGAGGAGAGGGGAATGGGGGGGGTTCGGGAAGGGGGGGTTCGGGGGGGTACTTGACCTGATTCAACAAAACCCCACATTCTACGCGGGCCTGAAGCCCTCCGCCCCGACAGCGGCGTCCTCAAAGCTCGTCCACTGCAGCTTCACCGCATAGCCTCCGCTCCTTCGGCGCCGTCCGCCAGCACCGGTTGGTCCCCCCTCTGGCCGCTGCTCTCGCCGCTCACCTGCTGGGTTTGGCCTCGGGGCACGGGGGCTGCTTCGCCGAGGTCCTTGGCCTCGGGGCTACACAGAGAGCCTGCGCGCCGCCACGCCCCCAGGGCGGAGGTGCCTCGCCACCTTCGGCTCTCGTGGATGCAACTCTTCGGAAGTTCAATTCGCAATCTGCGTTGGCAGGACCTTGGTCAAAAGCTGGCCTAATCTGGCTCAGTCCCGCTTCGTCCGATTCGACTCGGCTTGATCAGGCTCAATCCCGCGTAATCCTGGGCGCCAATCCTGCCTGATCTGGTTGAGTGGCCCTTCAATCTTGCTGACTAGTCAGCCCCTGACCGTTCTGACGAAGGCCTCCCAGAAGGTGCCTCCTGAGGCTCCCTGGGCCCGTTTCACTGGGGGGTCCAGGCTCCCTGGGCCATCATCCATCGTACGTTCATCCACAGACGCGGCTCCGGTCCTTGGACGGGCCGAGAGGAGGAGGAGGAGGAGGAGGAGGAGGAGGAGGAGGAGGAGGAGGAGGAGGAGGAGGAGGAGGAGGAGGAGGAGGAGGAGGAGGAGGAGGTGAAGAGGAGGAAGAGAAGGAGGAGGAGGAGGAGGAGGAAGAGGAGGAGGGGAGGAGGCGGAGGCGGAGGAGGAGGAGGAGGAGGAGGGGGGAGATAGGGCTCGCGCGTTGAGCAAGTGAAGGCATGGCAGGAATGTGGGCGCCTGGCCCGAGTGTCCTGGTCATCTCTCGTCGCTTTTGCTGTGCTTCGTCTCGGGAGCCCAGTCAGGCCAGGGCTGCGTCAACGAGGCCTGCGGAGTCGCCGCGCCACCAGAAATCCGGGCGAGAAGCACGACGGGCGTTTTGGTGATCTGAACCTTTGGGGACCGCTCCAGGGCCGTCAGCTGACGATCCGCGAGCAAAACGTGGTCCCACAATAGGGGTCGAGAGCCCGGGGATATACCTCGCAATATTGTCTCGGCGTCGAAGGTCCGGGCCCAGTCCAGCCCACGCAACTTCCCTCGTTGAATTTGCTATGGTTCGGTCCAGAGGGATGGGCCTGTCAGGATGACGCCCAGGGGTCGAACGATGACCTTGGACTTGCCATTGCCCCTGGACTCGCACCCTGAGGGGGAGAAAAGCTGAGGACCGAAGGGTTGCTGTTGCCGCTCCTCCGCATCCTTCCTCCTTTTCTTCCTCCTCCTCCTCCTCCTCCTCCTCCTCCTCCTCCCCCACCTCCTTATCCGTGGCCATTTTGGCTCAAATGCTCGGGAGTGGGTATTCCGGGGTACCATCCACTTCCGTTCACCTGAGCGGGCAGTTCCTTCCTCGGAGCGTTCCCAAGTGTCGCGTTCGGGCGGACATTTTTCCCTTTTCCCTTCGCACACCCATTCCTCCGTGTCCGCCGTCGGTGACGGCATCCAACAGGTCCTTGGGCAGCTCAGCGGCATCACGGGTCGGCTGTCCAACATCGAGAAGACCACCACCCATGGCATCCAAGCGGTCAAAATCTCGCTCGCGGCACACGACAGAGCCATGCAGCAGATTAACTCTATGCTCAATGGGTTCGAGGCGAACATGCGCTCGTCTTCCGAAACGGATGTTTTGGCTGCATTCCGTACCGACGTGGAGACGCGTGCGAACGCGAGTAAGTCCTCTGCTTCCTCGGTATTTCTCCGCTTCCTCTGCGTCTTCGGCAGGTGGATCCCCCACCTGATTTCCGACCTCGCGCCGCAGGCTGTCTGCCGCACACAACTCAGCTCGGAAAGGCGATGATGACCCACGCAAGGTCTGGATCGGCGGCCTCACGCGCCCCATGTTCGCAGCATATGTGGAGGCCCACGCTCGGAATCTCCCCGCCGTGCCCCCGACGCACATCTGGCAGCATGGCGTCACCGTCGCAACGCGCAACCTCGCCAAGAGCTACAGCCGGACCAAGGTATAAGATCGAGGTCGGTTCGGGGAGGGTACCCTAGTGTTCTTCGTGTTTGTTGGATGCTCTTGTGCATCCTGGGGAGGGTACCCTTGGATGTTCTGTGTGGTTGGGCTGGCGGAGGGTCTCAAGTTCTTGACGGATGTTCTTCTGTCCTAGGTCCGACCGTAATCGATCACCTACTCCAGTTCGCTCGACGCCTCCTCGTTCCTGGACTGCGGTTGGTCGCAGGTTGCATCATGTGGGTCGACCCAGCGTCTCAGGCCCAAGTCGCCTCTCGTTGCAGGGAAAGCCGCCCCCAACTCCGTCGGACAGAAGAACCAGGTGCTCGGCAAGGTCTGACACGCCGTGAGTCAACACCTCCAACAAGCTGGCCAGCGCAACGACACGCAGCACAAGCTTGGCGCCGACGGCTTCCGCGGCACCGTGTGCATCGCCATCGGCGAGATCGTCCACGAGTTTTTCGTTGTCACGGAGGGAAACTTCAATCAGCACGAGCTTGTCCATGTCGAACCCAGTAACGCCCTTTTCGGTATCACCGCAGAGCAGACGACCGCCATGATCGCCACCGCCAAAAACAGCTAGGGATCATCTACGCCGGTCCGCGCCTCAGATGCTTCAGCCCCCCCTTCGCTACGCGTGAGAATTCCTCACAGTTCGTGAACGTCCGTCTCCGCTTCCAGCGCCTCTTCGTTTTCTCCTTGTTCCGACTCGTCTGGGTCTCCCGCGCCGGTTGGGACTTCTAGTTGCGTCGTTTACTGGGCCTTCGTGTTTTCTTCCGTTTCGTGGGGCATTGGCCATCCGACCTACATTTGGAGAACCCACTTAGGCATGGTTTATCAGAATGTCCGGTCTCTATTCGGAGGGTTCACTTCGTCGCTGGATTACGTCGGGCGTAGAATTTCACGCCTGGCAACATCTATGCTGAAGTACCAGATTTTTTGCATCCAGGAGGCCAGAGGTTCCTATCTAGATCTCCAGAGGGTTTGCTCCAAAGTCTTGGACTCATCGGGAATTCGTCCTCTTTTCGCCGATAGGGCTGCCAGGGGTGCCATCATTTTTATTCGCCCCTCGCCCCGCGAGAATATCGAATTCTGCGGGTAGATTGAGCTCGAGGAAGGGCAAGTCCAGTCGCTGACAGTTAGTGGAATCAGGGGCTCTCTCCGCATTTCACATGTTCATATCGATCCCATCCTTCCTCTCAGCGAACAGAAGCGCCAGCTCACGGCCACCCATTGCCCCCATCTCCCCGCCCACGCAGCTGCCAGCTCTGCACTTGTGGACTTCCGCTGCCCAGCCTCGGGGAAAGGCTCGCTCGCGCCAGCGAGGCGGCCAATTAGTCGAGCAATGATGCGGCGATCTTTTTGTTCCGGCACGCTTGCGAAATTCGCGAGGCGGGGCAGTCCTCGCTCGCGCGTCGCGGCACTCGAGAGATTGAGGGGCCCCAGAAGGTTGCGAGTCTGAGTCGTATCGGTCGAATATGGACAAAGTCGTATAGTTCCGTTCTCCTCGAGCTCCGCCCGAAGTCCGTCGCTCTCATCCCGATCTCCAAGATTGGCCAGCTTTCCGATCGCGCCCCCGCCTGCCTCTCGCTCTCTCCCGGTGGGGAATGTAGGTTTCCGCGCCCCGTCTCGGGCCCCAGAGCATGGCCGCTGCCTTCCTCGTGCGCGAGAGCGAGTTTGCACCGCTGGCCCGCTCGACTCTGCCCCCGTCATAAGGCGCCCGCGCGTCAGGGGCACCCATGCCCAAGCCAGCACAGACGTCGCGCAACTCGCCGAGCAAGCCATCGAGCCCGTCGAAGAAAAGATCGCCTGGCCCCTGGCAGCGCTGCGCGGCACTACCCGTGGTCTTTTGTGCCGCGTTCGAAAGGCTGCCATCGCCTACCCAAGCATGTCCACCTTCCTGAGTGGCCAGTCAGGCCCGCGGCGCGACGCGCAAGACACCCGCCCCCGCCCGGACGATCAAGCTCGATCATATCCAGCAGCGGCCCCACGATTTTGAACGACAGTCAACCAGCGGGAGCGAGAAGACAAAGACAAGCTACGCAAGTGCCAGACAGCGCGGGGGGAGAAGCACCGCGGGCCCGCGCCCTCCGGCGTCTCCGACCCGACTAGTACGGCCATCGTGAAACCAGATCAGGTCGCCAAGTTTTTATCCGACCCATGGGGCAAAATGCGCCCAGGCATTCTAAGCTCGTCTGAGGGCCGACAGCTGCTTCGCGAGTTCACGACGCCCTGCCCCGACGTCGCGTTTCGGAAACCTTGGGGCGCGCGGGTAGATTCCGAGGGCGGGGGGTTCGCGCCCTCGGCCCGGCGGGCCCCCGCGCGCTTGCCGCGCGCGCGGGGGCGCAGCAGTCGTCGATGCCGCTCGCGACGTGCACTCCGCCCTGCTCGAGCGGGGCGCGCGCCCGAGGGCTGCCGTCGAGGCGCGGCCATGTCGCGCGCCGGCGGCGGCGGCCCAGGCGCCGCCCCGGCCCAGATCATGCCAAGCCCGCAAGCAGGACGATTGCGCTAGCCGAGCCTCCTCCTCCTCCTCCTCCTCCTCCCCCTCCTCCCCCTCCCCCCCCTCCTCCTCCTCCTCCTCCTCCTCCTCCTCCTCCTCCTCCTCCTCCTCCTCCTCCTCCTCCTCCTCCTCCTCCTCCTCCTAAGGCGACGTGCTCTCCTCCTCCTCCTCCTCCTCCTCTTGCTCCTCCGCCTCCTCCCCCTCCTCCTCTTCCTCCTCCTAGCCAGGTCGGGCGACAACTTTATCTCGCTCGCCCTCAACAAACCGCTGTCCAGGATCGCTTCCCAGACGGGGCCGGGGAATCAGCGCGGTCGTGTCCCTGGGCGCATCACGAACGGACGCATCATCGACCCCGAAAGTCGCGCCGCTGCCTGGTTTGCCCAGAATGTCGCAGGCATGCTGGCATGATTTACAATGGCGCAATTTCCGCGTTTCCCCCAAGTCTGCTTCATTCTGAGATGTTCTGGGCCCCCGCTGGCATGGGGCCCCCGCCCAACACCCTTAGCTCCCCAGCCAGAGCTTGCCTGTGTGAGGGCCCATGACTTGCATGCGAGTTTGCCCAGGCGACCTGGCGACTGAAGCTCACGAGACGTACATTGGGACCACTTTGGGCCAGGATGGTGGAAGTTTCCTGGGCCGCTCCGTCGATCAAGCACGCATCCAGGATTCGGGGCGCGAGGGGTTTGGGCTTTGGGCTGCGCAAGTCCATTGCTTGTTTCAACACCCTCTCTTTCTCGGCCCTGTCTCGCGCAATGCAGTTCTTCCCGCCGAATGAGCGGGCGTTCGCAGCTGTCAGGAAATCCCAGCAGAGCCTCACCAATGCGCCGAATAACAGCATCTCCCGATGCATTCTCCAGAGCCTCAAAGATTGGGGCTTCCCCGCGCGGGTCAGAGCATTCGAGCCCACCGCCCGAGCAGCCCTCCATCGCACTGCCGCCATGTCCAAGTCTCTCCACCAGGCCAAACAGTTTTCCGAGTCGGATGCCGATGACGACGCGCTCTCGGGTTGGCAGCAGGCTCCTGCGCGGCTCTCCTCGCCCACCTTCCACCTCGTTGCCAACTGCAGCCCGCCCCCTCGCATTCCGCCGATGCCTTCCCTTGGACCCCCGAAGTTTTCAGAGTAATGATGAGGCCGCCCTGGTTGCCCTCGAGCCCATCCCTCTCCGTTCTGCCCTGTTCGATCGCCTTCGCAAGTTCCCCGCGCACACGCACGCGCGCGCGCCCGACCCACCCACTTCGCAAATGCTCGACCCCGCGCGCCTGGCCTTGCGCCGCACCTTCGTGCGCGCCCCAACTTGCGTTACCAGCAGCGCAATTCGCGCCGCGCGCATCGCCCGGCGCGCCACTCGCCGGCGCCGCGGGGCCACTGAACAGCGCAGGTTTTGTTGGCAAGAGAATTCCGATTGAATGCCCCACGCATTAGTCTTTGGGCGCGCCTCCCGCGCCACGCATGCGCTGCCCCATCTTCCTCTTGGTCCCTTGTCGTTGCCTGTCTGCGCCCGTGTTTTTTTTTTTCTCTCTCTCTCTCTCTCTCTCTCTCTCTCTCTCTCTCTCTCTCTCTCTCTCTCTCTCTCTCTCTCTCTCTCTCTCTCTCTCTCTCTCTCTCTCTCTCTCTCTCTCTCTCTCTCTCTCTCTCTCTCTCTCTCTCTCTCTCTCTCTCTCTCTCTCTCTCTCTCTCTCTCTCTCTCTCTCTCTCTCTCTCTCTCTCTCTCTCTCTCTCTCTCTCTCTCTCTCTCTCTCTCTCTCTCTCTCTCTCTCTCTCTCTCTCTCTCTCTCTCTCTCTCTCTCTCTCTCTCTCTCCTCTCTCTCCCACTCTCTCTCCCTCTCTCTCTCTCTCTCTCTCTCTCTCCCCCCTGCCCCGCCAGCGCCGCCTCGACCTTGCATCCACCGCTCTTTGTCTTGATATATGTTGCAGAGCGCGCCGCGAATGAAAGCTGCGGCCGCGGGCCGCCTCCCATGCGGAGCGGAACCGATTCCGCAACTTCGCCGCGGTCCGCCCGCAGCAACCCCGCGGGCGCGCCCCGCCCGCTCTCTCCTTGGCATTGCAGGGGGCACACTGACGCGTTGTCTCGCCGTCGCTGGTCGCCCGCACTTGGCCGCGCGCCCGCCCTCCTCTACTCGGCCCTGAGCAGAATGGTGACTTCGCTCTCCTCCTCTGGCCTGGCGCGCGCGCTAGGCGTCGCGATGCGCTTTTCAAATGTGGTTCATCTTGCTGGGGCCCCTGCTAATGCGGCGCAGCACCTCGGCGGCGATGTCATGGGTGATCGTGATCGTTCGTTCCGATTAGATTGCGCCCAGGTCGTCTGCTATTTTCTGCAGCTCATCCTCGCGGGCAAGTTCTGGCACTAAAAGGATTGCACGCGTGGGTTGTCGCGCTGTGTTCTTTGCCAACGTCGCCGGCCCATCGCGCTC